AAAGGCCCCCAATGGAAATAAGTCACTCTGTCATTTTTTTGGGTTTTACCTGGGTTCCTACACATATGCTGCTATTTGAAAATTTAAATTTAACTGTATTTGTGTTTACCTAAATAAACCTTACTTACTTACTTACTTACTTACTTAAATAAGTGTCGGGCCCAGACTTTTCAAAATGCCTCCACAACATAAGGGGGATTACCAACGACCCCTGGGATCTTCAAGCTGGCACTGGACAAGCACCTAAAGTCGGTTCCCACCAGCCGGGGTGGGCTCGTACGTTGGTTTGCGTGCAGCCAGCAGTAACAGCCTGTTGATCACTCTTATCCCCAGGGCCGGTCACAGACGGGCCGCGGGGGCTTTGACCCCCGGAACCCCTCTCCAGTAAACTCCAGGTAAACCCAGGTACATAAAAGGGGGCCAAGGAATGGGGCCCCCAAAATTTTGAAGCAACAAGTTCAAAGGGTTATGAACTCCCGATGATCTGGTCACAGTCATGACTTTAAAAAGGGATTTACGTTACAGAGGACCCTTTCCCCTGGGGCCCCAAATTTTGATTTTAACTAGGTCAAAGGTTATGAGCTCCCCAAAGGGTTACAGGCTTATTTTCATTTTCTTTTTTGGGGAATTGTAGTTACATAAAAAGTGTTTATCGACCCGTTTTTGTTATTAATTGGGCAATAAGACCAAAAACCCCGGTAATACATTTATTGAGAATGTTTCCAGGAAATTTTTTTCACTTCCACCGAGAAAAAGTCCTTTTTTTTTTTTTAGCACACCGGGTGTCTCCCCCGGAGGGTGACCCAAAAAGAAACTTTTCATTCTTTTCTTTTCAAAAAATGTGCTGACATCAAGCTCAATAACCCCTGAAACCCCAGCCTTCCCACCCCTGTAATAAAGTTGGGAGAATTGCCGAGAATGTGTCTGAAACGGCTTGACAAAGCTCCTGGGGGGGCGGGCCCCATGTGAATGGCTGATTCCAAGTGGTTTTTGAATTTATAAATTTATTTTTAAAATAACAAATTATTTTTCAAAAAAAAATAAAAACTGAAAAAAAAAGTTTATTATTTAAAAAAGCCTGCGGAAATTCAAAGCCCTGACTAAAAATTTTTTTCCTCCGACCCTGCCTTGCCCCTCCCCCCTCCCCCTGCTCTGTTTATTGAAATTTTTAAAAGGGGGCCGAAAATTGTTGGGGAAAAACCCTTGCAAAATTTGGGCTTTTTGGGGCGTTTTGGGGAAAATGATTTTTGATTGTCGATGATACCCTATATCCCGGTGGGGCTGATTACCTCAAACTCCCCCTTCAACAACAAAAAGCTCAATGGGGGAAAAAGTCAACCTTCCCCTAAATGAAACAAGAGGTAAAAAAAATCCTAAACAAAACGGTTCGTAAGTTTTTTAGGTATACCAAAATGCAGTTTCTAGAATTTTTCAACATAAAAGCAATGTGTAGGTAGCTAGAACAGATTAATTGGCACTGAGGGTTTATGCCAAGGCATAACTCGAGTGCCACAAAGGAAAAGGAAGAAAGAAAGTAAAAGAAAAAGAAAGGGCACCCCCCTATACGGCGAAGGCAAAAAAATAACGAGGGGCTAAAAAGGTCAATATATTTGTAATACGAAGGGAGGCACTGGGCAGAGAAATAGCAAAAATCGAACTAAAAGCTTAAGGAATCAAAAAAGATCAGAAACCGGAAGAACAAAAGCCCTAAAAGAAATTTAAAAAAAAAAAAAAATATTTCTTTTTTTATGCCAAATCAAAGTCGAAACAAAATCCCGTATTGGGCCCCCCACTTAAACAGTTGGGGTTTCACAGATGACAGCAAGGGAATGGTGAGACCGGCCGTTAACCAGACTGAGGTTGAAGACATAATGAATTTTTTGGGGACAGAATTTGGTAACTCGATTTTATCATGACGCCAAATGACTTCGAAAGGCGATAAATGTATGCCCATGCATTCTGCCCCAGGCCCAACTCATGGAAAATCCAGTTTTTTAAGAAATGCAAAAAACTCAATTACACAAACCCGGGAAAAGGGGTTAGAGGGTCCCGCTCCTGCCCGTCCCCAAATATTGGATACTATGACAAACAAAAAGCAGATGTAACACAGACTGCAAGTCTTTGGAAAGTGACAATGGGGGTAATAGCGCGCAAAAAGAAAATGGAGCCTTGAAGGTTCCATTATCCTCCGTCATGATGTCATTTTTAGATCACTTGTTCTTATAGTGGAAATATTGCTGCACATTAAAGGCACCCCTTAAAGGGAGGTGAAAATTTCTACCTAGAAAGTGTACAGAGAACCTTTAGCACACTAAATGCATAAACACCTCAGTTACGGGGAAAGCTTGAAGTCCTCAACCTTACCCCTAGAACGCAGGCGGGGGAGATACATCATTATATGTACTTTGGGAAAACCCAGAGGGATTAGTATCAACCTTGCATATGAAAACAAAAGACTCGGCAGACGATGCAACATTTCCCCAATGAAAAGATGGGGCGTCACTAGCCTGGAGTTTACCTGGAGAGAGTTCCGGGGGTCAACGCCCCCGCGGCCCGGTCTATGACCAGGCCTCCTGGTGGATCAGAGCCTGATCAACCAGGCTGTTGCTGCTGGCTGCACGCAAACCAACGTACGAGCCACAGCCCGGCTGGTCAGGAACCGACTTTAGGTGCTTGTCCAGTGCCAGCTTGAAGACTGCCAGGGGTCTGTTGGTAATCCCCCTTATGTATGCTGGGAGGCAGTTGAACAGTCTCGGGCCCCTGACACTTATTGTATGGTCTCTTAACGTGCTAGTGACACCCCTGCTTTTCATTGGGGGGATGTTGCATCGTCTGCCAAGTCTTTTGCTTTCGTAGTGAGTGATTTTTGTGTGCATGTTCGGTACTAGTCCCTCTAGGATTTTCCAGGTGTATATAATCACGTATCTCTCCCGCCTGCATTCCAGGGAATATAGTTTTAGGAACCTCAAGCGCTCCCAGTAATTGAGGTGTTTTATCTCCGTTATGCGCGCCATGAAGGTTCTCTGTACATTTTCTAGGTCAGCAATTTCACCTGCCTTGAAAGGTGCTGTTAGTGTGCAGCAATATTCCAGCCTAGATAGAACAAGTGACCTGAAGAGTGTCATCATGGGCTTGGCCTCCCTAGTTTTGAAGGTTCTCATTATCCATCCTGTCATTTTTCTAGCAGATGCGATTGATACAATGTTATGGTCCTTGAAGGTGAGATCCTCCGACATGATCACTCCCAGGTCTTTGACGTTGGTGTTTGGCTCTATTTTGTGGCCAGAATTTGTTTTGTACTCTGATGAAGATTTAATTTCCTCGTATTTACCACATCTGAGTAATTGAAATTTCTCATCGTTGAACTTCATATTGTTTTCTGCAGCCCACTGAAAGATTTGGTTGATGTCCGCCTGGAGCCTTACAGTGTCTGCAATGGAAGACACTGTCATGCAGATTCGGGTGTCATCTGCAAAGGAAGACACGGTGCTGTGGCTGAAATCCTTGTCTATGTCGGATATGAGGATGAGGAACAAGATGGGAGCGAGTACTGTGCCTTGTGGAACAGAGCTTTTCACCGTGCCTGCCTCGGACTTTACTCTGTTGACGACTACTCTGTGTTCTGTTAGTGAGGAAATTATAGATCCATCGACCGACTTTTCCTGTTATTCCTTTAGCACGCATTTTGAGCGCTATTACGCCATGGTCACACTTGTCGAAGGCTTTTGCAAAGTCTGTATATATTACATCTGCATTCTTTTTGTCTTCTAGTGCATTTAGGACCTTGTCATAGTGATCCAATAGTTGAGACAGACAGGAGCGACCTGTTCTAAACCCATGTTGCCCTGGGTTGTGTAACTGATGGGTTTCTAGATGGGTGGTGATCTTGCTTCTTAGGACCCTTTCAAAGATTTTTATGATATGGGATAAGAGACAGCACAATAAGTGTCAAAGGCCCAAGGCTGTTCAACTGCCTTGGGGGATTATCAATAGACCCCTGGTTGTCTTCAAGAAGGTGCTGGACAGGCACCTAAAGTCAGTACCTGACCAGCCGAGCTGTGGTTTGTACGTCGGGTTGCGTGCGGCTAACAGTAATTGCTTGGATTTGATGAGACCCTGATCCACCATGAGGCCTGGTCACAGGCCGGGTCGCGGGGACATTTATTTATTTATTTATTTATTTATAATTTGAGGACACTTACAGAGGTACAAAAAAAATACAGATAAGAGCAGCATGCCAAAGCCACTTATACTATGCATAGCATTACGGGCTGGCTTAAAATTAACTTAAGATTAACTAAGCAATGATGAAATCAGTGAAAAACATTAATGTAAACTGATTACTATAAAGCACAAGTGAGTATTACAAAGACAGGTCATATGGTTGCATGCATTGTTATAAATTCAGTAGAATGGAGTATTCTGTTAGGTAGTGTATTTAAAAAATAATAAAGTTAGATTGGGTTTTAGGTTTAACATTTATGTGATATAATTGTGAGAAACATTTAAGATATACAATTTATAAGGTTCAGTTATTCAGTATTTATTTGGTTTTGGGTGAGTAAGTGATCTTTGAGAAGAGACTTGAATTTATAAACAGGTAGTGTTTCTTTTATATTTACAGGTATTGAATTCCAGATTTTAGGGCCTTTCATGTGCATTGAGTTTTTGCATAGCGTGAGATGGACACGAGGAATATCAAAGAGTGATCTGTGCCTTGTGTTATGGTCATGTGTTCTGTTGAGGTTGGCAAGGAGATGTTTGAGGGGAGGGTTAATATCAGAGTTGAGTGTTCTATGTATGTAATAGGTGCAGTAATAAGTATGGATGTTTTGTATGGTGAGTATTATTATTATTATTATAATCAAAAAGAAGCGCTAAGCCACAAGGGCTATACAGACGTGTATGGTGAGTAGGTTGAGTGTATTGAATATTGGTGGAGTGTGCTGCCTGTAGTGAGAATTTGTTATCATTCTAACTGCAGCCTTTTGTTGGGTAATTAGTGGTCTGAGATGGTTACTTGTTGTTGAGCCCCATGCACAAATTCCATAGGTGAGATAGGGGTAAATAAGAGAGTGATATAGGGCCAGGAGGGCTGACTGTGGAGCATAGTACCGTATCTTCCAGGCAATACAAGGTATACAGATTGAAAGTAATTTATTATGTATGCAGCTCTTATACAAAAATTTTACTATTATATTATCATTATCATTGTTAATAATATTATTATTATTGTCTAACTTTTTTTACTAGATTATCCTAGGTATGATAATTTGTGTACCTAGATAAACTTATTCTTATTATTATTATTTTTAGAGTGAGTGTAGTGATGGAGCGCTAAACCCTGTATTGTTGCCGCTGCTGCTTGTCATACAAGATGATGGTGACGTCACAGGTAAACAAACATTTTGAATCGGTCCCGCCAGTCAGAGGATTGAGTAATCAATGATGACACTACAGGTTCTTCAGGAGGGTCTCTCCTTACAAGTGACAGACATTGTCAGTGCTCAAGATGACTGGACGAGTGACGACAGGCAGAACATCCAGCGGCAGTATATGGAGGTTAGCTGCCAGCACTAGTCTCGCATATGGGGAGTTATGGACCCCGCATTGTAATCCTTATAGAGAATAAATCTTGATTGATTTATTAGAGGTTAAGTTTCGCCACGAGTGGAGATAAAGTGTGAAAATACCAACACAATGGCAAAATAGACACAGATGCAGTATAATGCGATCCTTTATTGACGTCGTTTTGCCCACACAGTGGGCTTTATCAAGTCACAAACAGATCTCTTGTGGCTTGGTAGATTATTATTATTATAATAATGTGTGGGTGAAACGTTATCAGTAAAGGATCACATACTGCATTTGTATCCTTTAATAAATGTTCTAACTTTACCTGTGTCTCCTTATCCCACATGTGGGTCTTGCCATAGTATTTATTTTCACTACAGCCTGGTACCTCCTTCACTTATATTGGACCCCAGTGAAAATAAGTCACTTTGACTTATGTTTTGGGCTATCCTGGGTAAGTAACACTATTTAGGCACAGATACACATAAATACAACTATCAGTGTCAATTGCAAACTCCTACTGTATGCAGATGACAGTGCTCTGTTAGTGTCAGGTAAAGACCCACAAGATATTGCTAATGTTTTAACACTGGAACTGGAGTCCTGCAGCAAATGGTTAGTAGACAACAAACTATCATTACACCTAGGGAAAACTGAAGCCATTCTCTTTGGCACGAAACATAAACTGAGAAGGGTAAATAATTTTAATGTTCAATGTAATGGGGAGCCCATCACTTTGGTTTCATCAGTAAAATATTTGGGAATCCCCTTTGACCCATGCATGTCAGGAGAATTGATAGGGAACAGTGTAGTAAAGAAAGCGAATGCCAGACTGAAGTTCCTGTATAGACAAGCACAGTGTCTACCTACTGAGGCTCGCAGGACTCTATGTCTAGCCCTTATACAATGCCATATGGATTACGCTTGCTCTTCTTGGTACTCTGCCTTGACAAAAAAACTGAAAGATAGACTGCAAATCACCCAGAACAAAATCGTAAGATTCATCCTGGGGCTGGGACCAAGAGAACATGTAGGCCAGGATGAATTACAGCAGTTGGATATGCTGAATGTTGAAGACAGAGTAAAACAACTGAAGCTAAATCATGTTTATAAAATTGCTCACAAGCAATGTCCAGAATATCTTGCTGTCAATTTTGTCAAGGCTGGGAACCAAAGCAATCATAGAACTAGGGGAGAGAGCACAACTTTGCAGTACCCACAGTCAGTGGCCAGGCTTCAAACACCTTTTATTGTACAGCAATAAAGGAATGGAACAGACTACCCGCACATGTCAAAGCCAGTCATAGCGTGAACCAGTTCAAGAAGAGTGCCAAAAGGTGTCTGATGAATGTAGCTACAGAAAGGGAGGGGAATGATTTTCTATTTTTTAGCTAACATACGTGTAAATTTTACCTTATTCCTTGTAATGACCCTCGTATTGTAGATAGTCTTAATGACCTTGGTGTCGCAGATAGTCTTTTTAGTATGATAATAAGATGTTATCTTCATTGTAGAACAATAAGAAAATATTATAACCTTTATACTATAATAATAAGGTAAAAGGACCCCAATGGAAATAAGTCACTCTGTCTGACTTTTTTGGGTTATCCTAGGTTCTCTACACATATGCTGCTATATATGATAATTCTATGTAACTGTATTTGTGTATACCTGAATAAACTTACTTACTTACTTACTTGCATGTGTAACTTACCTAGGATAACCCAAAAAAGTCAGAGTGATTTATTTCCATTGGAGTCCGCTTATGACAATGTTTTGGCCCAACTTGGACCATTAACTACTCACACAGAGAAGCACAAAGTGAAGAAAGCCAGAATATATATGAGTGGTGGGGGATGGGGACGAACACGAGTGGTACGATGGGAGGAGGGAGTATTTTTTTTTTTATTATCACACTGGCCGATTCCCACCAAGGCAGGGTGGCCCGAAAAAGAAAAACTTTCACCATCATTCACTCCATCACTGTCTTGCCAGAAGGGTGCTTTACACTACAGTTTTTAAACTGCAACATTAACACCCCTCCTTCAGAGTGCAGGCACTGTACTTCCCATCTCCAGGACTCAAGTCCGGCCTGCCGGTTTCCCTGAATCCCTTCATAAATGTTACTTTGCTCACACTCCAACAGCACGTCAAGTATTAAAAACCATTTGTCTCCATTCACTCCTATCAAACATGCTCACGCATGCCTGCTGGAAGTCGAAGCCCCTCGCACACAAAACCTCCTTTACCCCCTCCCTCCAACCCTTCCTAGGCCGACCCCTACCCCGCCTTCCTTCCACTACAGACTGATACACTCTTGAAGTCATTCTGTTTCGCTCCATTCTCTCTACATGTCCGAACCACCTCAACAACCCTTCCTCAGCCCTCTGGACAACAGTTTTGGTAATCCCGCACCTCCTCCTAACTTCCAAACTACGAATTCTCTGCATTATATTCACACCACACATTGCCCTCAGACACGACATCTCCACTGCCTCCAGCCTTCTCCTCGCTGCAACATTCATCACCCACGCTTCACGCCCATATAAGAGCGTTGGTAAAACTATACTCTCATACATTCCCCTCTTTGCCTCCAAGGACAAAGTTCTTTGTCTCCACAGACTCCTAAGTGCACCACTCACTCTTTTTCCCTCATCAATTCTATGATTCACCTCATCTTTCATAGACCCATCCGCTGACACGTCCACTCCCAAATATCTGAATACGTTCACCTCCTCCATACTCTCTCCCTCCAATCTGATATTCAATCTTTCATCACCTAATCTTTTTGTTATCCTCATAACCTTACTCTTTCCTGTATTCACCTTTAATTTTCTTCTTTTGCACACCCTACCAAATTCATCCACCAATCTCTGCAACTTCTCTTCAGAATCTCCCAAGAGCACAGTGTCATCAGCAAAGAGCAGCTGTGACAACTCCCACTTTGTGTGTGATTCTTTATCTTTTAACTCCACGCCTCTTGCCAAGACCCTCGCATTTACTTCTCTTACAACCCCATCTATAAATATATTAAACAACCACGGTGACATCACACATCCTTGTCTAAGGCCTACTTTTACTGGGAAAAAATTTCCCTCTTTCCTACATACTCTAACTTGAGCCTCACTATCCTCGTAAAAACTCTTCACTGCTTTCAGTAACCTACCTCCTACACTATACACTTGCAACATCTGCCACATTGCCCCCCTATCCACCCTGTCATACGCCTTTTCCAAATCCATAAATGCCACAAAGACCTCTTTAGCCTTATCTAAATACTGTTCACTTATATGTTTCACTGTAAACACCTGGTCCACACACCCCTACCTTTCCTAAAGCCTCCTTGTTCATCTGCTATCCTATTCTCCGTCTTACTCTTAATTCTTTCAATTATAACTCTACCATACACTTTACCAGGTACACTCAACAGACTTATCCCCCTATAATTTTTGCACTCTCTTTTGTCCCCTTTGCCTTTATACAAAGGAACTATGCATGCTCTCTGCCAATCCCTAGGTACCTTACCCTCTTCCATACATTTATTAAATAATTGCACCAACCACTCCAAAACTATATCCCCACCTGCTTTTAACATTTCTATCTTTATCCCATCAATCCCGGCTGCCTTACCCCCTTTCATTTTACCTACTGCCTCACGAACTTCCCCCACACTCACAACTGGCTCTTCCTCACTCCTACAAGATCAAATATAAAAAATTTTTAACCCAGGATAGGGAGGGTTTGCCACCCAGGATAACCTAATAAAGTTAGTGTGTCTTCAAGAACTGTCTTATTTCCACTTGGGTCCTTTAATCTTGTCCTCCAGGATGTGACCCACAACAGTCAACTGACACCCAGGTACTGGTTGATCTGGCACTTGCTGAAGTCTTGAATAATAATAATATCTTTATTTACTACAAGTGCATGTACATGGTATACAGGCCTAACAGACATTATTGATGTACTACTATATAGAAAGCTACTTGTTATGCAGAGCATTTTGGGCAAATTAGATCAGTTTTGTCCCAGGATGCCACCCACATTAGTCAACTAACTCCCAGGTACCCATTTTACTGAAGGGTGAACATAGAAAACTGGTGTAAAGAAACACGCCCAATGTTTCTACCCTTACTGGGAATCGAACCCAGACCCTCACCATGTGAAGTGAGAGCTTTAGCAGTGTTTCTGACATCTGGTAAAATGTTTGATAGTCTGGGGCCATGGATGTTGATACAGTGTTTCCTTATTGTGTTCACTAAGCCCCCTGCTGTTTCCATGTTTTATTTTGCACTTTCTCCCATATCTCTCACTCTAGTACATGCATGTTCTTATGGCAGTGTGCAGATTTGGGACAGGGCCCTCAAGTACTTTCCAGGTATATATTATCATGTATCTCTCTGTCTCTCTCTCTCCTCTGCTCCAGTGCATACTTATTCATTCAAGACTTTACAGGCATTCCCAGTAATTAAAATGCTTTATTGGCTCTATGCAGGCTGTAAATTATCTCTGTATTTGTTCTAACTCTGATACTTCTCCTGCCTTGAATGGGGCCATCAACACAATAATATTCTATACGAGAGAGCACAAACAATTTGAAAAGTGTCACCACTGGCATTATTTTCATTTTTTTTGAAAGTACTCATTCAAGACTTTACAGGCATTCCCAGTAATTAAAATGCTTTATTGGCTCTATGCAGGCTGTAAATTATCTCTGTATTTGTTCTAACTCTGATACTTCTCCTGCCTTGAATGGGGCCATCAACACAATAATATTCTATACGAAAGAGCACAAACAATTTGAAAAGTGTCACCACTGGCATTATTTTCATTTTTTTTGAAAGTTCTCATTATCTACACCATCATCCTCCTGGCTGTTGTGACCTTGGTCTTATTGTGTTCTTTGAAAGAAAGGTCAGCTGACCAACGGACTTCCTCAGGCTTACATGCAACCCCTCTCGAAACTGGATATCATCATTTGATAACTAAGGGGTGGATGAAGTTGGGTAAAAATGCCCATGTATTAACCACAAGGTATGTCTTCATGTATCTCAGGACAACTAGGAAGGTACCACAATTTGCTAGCATACAAGCTTCTGTATATACATTTTAGTTATTTTTATTTTGAATCTAAGGATGTATAATGAATGCATTCCTTTGTTTCAGCAGTCATATGAAAGAGTTGTATAGCATTGTATATACATTATAGGAATTAAGAAATGGAAATTTTACATTTATTTGGTACAGTATCATCCAGTTTGAGTTCACATTAATCCTTTGAGGGTCGAGAGGCCCTCTCCCAAACTCGTTCTCAGGGTCGAAAAATTTTTGAAATTTTCTTTTTTATTTTTTCTTATGAAATGATAATCTTTTTCCGATCATAATGACACCAAAAGTATGAAATTTGATGAAAAACTTACGGAATTATGCTCTTGCAAAGTTAGCGGTCTCAAAGTTGGCGATTTCGCCCACTTTGGGCCCTATTTTCGGCCAATTCCAATGTTGCAGCTGACTAAAATCATAGCTATTTCACTAGAACTCCATTTGTTCTATCGATTGAATTCAAGAATCTGTCCATTTACTGATTTCAACTACCCAGTAAAGTGGTCAGAAATTGGCACTTTGGGCAATTTCACACAAATTTCAAAAGATGCCAGTTTCAAAATAGGGTTCAGAATAAACAAGGCAGACATTCATGGCACTAAAATAACATTTTATCTGTTCATTAGTCATGTCTCTAGGCCTCTCTTACATTACTTTTGCTTTAAATTTTTAATTTTTATTCTCACAGAAAATAGAAAGTTTTCTGTTATGTATACTACTGTGTCATTGTAAAAATGGTATAAATGATATCAGCACACTTATGAAAGAATATTAGACTCACCAGTTGACGTGTATTAGATGTGTGGCTTGATTTGTTTACTCTTGAATATCGGCAAAAATCGATCATTTTCGCTACTTTGAGCTCAATTTCAAGGTACTTGTCATTGTGAAACCAATCAAAATCATCTCTAATTCTGTAATATATCTTCCATTTTATCAAACGAGACCAAAGAAACGAGAATACTGTACAACCATAAATACCATACAAAAATTCACTAGAAAGTCGCTGTTTTAAACCAAAAACACAGTCGAAGTTTTCTTTTTCTCATTATGCACAGCGTGCTTCAGGATTTTTTTATACTGCGCACACTGACCACACAGACCCATTCTTTCATATGTAGGCCTGCCAGCTTTCTTCCACCAAATTTGAAGGCGCTAGAATTTAGGCGTACAAATACGTGACCGACCCTGGCTGCAATGACATACTTGTACGTGACCGACCCTGGCTGCAATGACGTACTTGTACGTGACCGACCCTCGAAGGGTTAAATTAATGCAAGTAATGTTTTTGAATTACCACTATGGTACTGGATTTGTGCACAGTTCTGTATTCTCCATTTTTTGTCCTATGAGGTCTAGTACACTTGTAACAGCATTAATAAATTGGAAGAGAATAGGTTTTATATATAAATAAAATACGTAGCTATATTTAAGTATCCTTGCAACTAATTCTAGCATGTTAAGTTAAACCAACTACAGATGAGGTTGAACAGCAGGCATATATTATGAATTGATACATTTTTCTTACCTTAATAACTTGTACCCATTGACATGAATGTTTAGATGTCAGCAAGTTATAAATTTGTTGCATTATTTACAGATACACAGTGAGCTGTGGGGCGAAGTGGTAAGCATTGCAGCTCAGGAGGATCATCAGTGTTCAGAAGACACACAAGGTAGACTACTTACAATCGGTTATGTTATTTATGGGTGGAGGATGTTGTATTTTGGAGGCTCATCTGAACTGTAATGTTGGCACGCTTCTGGCAAGATGGTGATAGAATGAATGATGGTGACTGTGATTCTTCTTTTTTTAGGTCAATTTGCCTTGATGGGAGATAGCTGTGTTTAAAAAGCTGCTGAAATTTGACTAGTGTTTTGTAAATGCCAATACAAATTTAAAAATGCCTGTATTCATATCAATTCATTGCTTAAGATGAGTAGACTACTTTAAGGTTGTTAAATATATAATTTTATGCACAGCCATTTTATTTTAACATTTTATAATCACTGTTACTGATAAGTCTTTCTTTAATGATTACTGTATTAATATTTTGTTTTAATTTTACATTTAAGAAGATCCAGATGTCTTGGAAGATGTTGAGATTCGCCATGAAGGAACACTTATTGCTGTGACCAAGAAACGCAAGGAATATCCAGCACTCCTTACTGGTCTTTTAGGGAAAAAAACAAGACTTCAGAATAATACAGTTGTTGGTATTATTTGTCATGGTTCTACACTTATTTAAATTGTAACCTTAGTGTTCAGTTACACAATGATACTCTAGTACAGTATAAAGGTCTTGATACTGTACTTAAGAATAGATATTTATATTCATTGTGATGTCTCACACAGGAATACTATGCAGTATTATCTCTTGTATCCTTCTAGTGGAGATTGAATTGGTAAATAGTTATGTATGGGACCTAAAGTCATATACCAAAATCAGTTTACCCAGAGAAATGTAACAGAAGAGGACCATCCTAGATTTAACCCTTTCAGGGTTGGCAGGCCCTCTCCTAAACTTGTTCTCAGGGTTGGAAATTTAAAAAAAAAAATTATTTTTTCTTATGAAATGAGAGAGAATCTTTTCCCGATCATAATAACACCAAAAATAAGAAATTTGATGGAAAACTTACAGAATTATGCTGTCGCGAAGTTAGCGGTCTCGACAATGTTTATGCATCGGCGATTTCGCCCACTTTGAGCCCTATGTACCAATGTACCAGTCGACAAAAATCATAACTATTTCGCTAGAACTCCATTTTTTTCTATCGAATGAGTACAAGAAACCACCTATTTACCAATTTCAACTATCTAATAAAGTGGTCAGAAATTGACAATTTTGCCAATTTCACAAATTTCAAAAGATGCCAATTTCCAAATAGGGTCCAGAATAAACAAGACAGACATTCCTGGCACTAAAATAACATTTCTTCTGTTCATTAGTCACGTCCCCAGGCCTCTGTTACATTTCTTTTGCTTTCCACTTTGAATTTTTATTCTCACAAGAAATAGAAGATTTACTGTTATGCAGTCTACTGCATTAGTGTAGAAATGGTATAAATAATATTAGCGCACTTGTGAAAGAATATTAGTCTCACCAGTTGACGTGTATCGGACGCATGGCATGATTTGTTTACTTTTGAACTTTGGCAAAAATCGAACATTTCTGCTACTTTTAGCTCGATTTCAAGGTCCTTTTCTTTGTGAAACCAATCAAAATCATCTCAATTTCTGTAATATGTCTTCCAGTCTATAAAATGAGACTAGGAAAACTAGAATACAACCATAAATAGCATACGAAAATACACTGCAACGTTGCTGTTTTAAACCAAAAACACGGTCGGAGTTTTTTTTTTTCTCATTATGCACTGTGTGCTGCAGGATTTTTTTTTTATACTGCGCACACTGACCACATAGACCCATTCTTTCATGTATAGGCCTACCAGCTTTCTCTCGCTAGATTGAAGGCGCTAGAATTTATGCGTACCAGTATGGCACCAACCCTAGCGTGCAAGCCGTACTAGTACGGCACCAACCCTGAAAGGGTTAATGGACATCGTTTGTTGTTTTTGAATGTTGACCAGCCAAAGATTTTATCTGTTATATCCAAAATTCACTAAATTGGGGTCTGTTAAATTGAGGTTTTACTTTGATAATTTCGTGCAAATCCATGGGTACTTCACATATGATTATGTACTTAATGCAGTAGTTGGGAATTTAGTACTTATTATATCTGTTTACACCATGAAGTAGTCATTCTGAATTATTTTGTTACAGGAAAAGCTGAAAGTTGACCTGCCACCGAGAGCTCCCTTAGAGGTTAATGAAGGTATGAGCCACCTGGATGGAAGCCTCGATCCTTTATTTAAAAGCATCTTAGTTATACTGTCAGAGAACATGCATAACATCCAATTACAAACTAATCGCCTAACACATGTTGCTGATGCAGCCGAGATAATTATTAACAATCAGCACCATCCCATTGAAACACTTGTCAGTAATATTGAGAGATATATAAAAGACAGTAATATAAAATGATTTGGGGTACAAAATGGATACTGCTAACAGTGTCTACTGTATCAAGCAATGAGAGGAAATAGTAAAGCGAAAAGGAATGTTTTTATAACCCCCATGTCCCCTTTTTCCTTTTATTACATCAGATGAGATGAAGTTAAGAGAAATAAATCCCCGACCCAACAGTCTCTTATCTTGTGTGAAGGATGTATGGGTGTTTTTACCAATGAGTAGCAAGATTGCCATATCCTTATGCCAACTTTTTTATTTCAGACTGTATACTGTATTTTATTATTTACCTCATCTTTAGCATACAAAACTATTCCACAATACATTACAATCATGATCAGACTAGTATAAAGGATTTTTCATCACTGTTTTTTAGTGCATTTGACCCTTTTGGGTTTAGTGCCTAGTTTTATTATACTGTATTACATTATTTGCAGATTTTTTAACTTGGCAATTAGTTAAACATTTATTACAGCTGGTTATGCTAATTGTATTTCATAATAAAAACTCTTTGATATCCATTTTTTCTGACCTGTTGATGAAGGAACATTAGATAGGAGTGGTGGCAGGTGGTTTTTATGACTATGTGCTGTTGGAGTGTGAGCAAGGAAACATTTATGAAGGGATTCAGGGAAACCAGTTAGCCGGACTCGAGCTCTGGGGGTGGGAAGTACAGTGTCTGAAGAGGCATCTGAACTAGTATTGCCACACCTTGGGCAAGACAGTGATGGTGAAAACATTTTTTTTTTTTTTGTCATCCTACCTTGGTGGGATTTGGTCAGTGTCAAAAAAAAAATTACTAATACTGTATTACAAATTTGGTAGGCACTTGAATGAAAATATTACTGTGGTGTGTAGTTAGGCAATAAATGTTTAGGGACCTTCAATGCAGAGTCTGATTTATTAAATAAAAGTGGCATATTATATTCACCTCTCCTCCCCCCTTTGCACATGCCTTTTTATCCTGCCATTTGGGCTTAGTGCTTAGCTATGATTATAATAGTAATTGATGTGATGAAGGGCTCTTTATCCGAGGAATTAGACTTTCTGTCTATTCCTCAGATTGAATCTGATTCTGCCACACCCTTTCCCTGTCCATTTGGCTTTTGGGGATATTTCCTTTGTATGCTGAGGGAACAGGGTCTGTTGTCCATCCTTCCATTGAGGCCCTTGGTGATGGTGGTGGTGATATACACTTTTTCTCCTCAGAGCTGCCCCTCTTTCACCCCCTTCCCCCCCCCCCATACACAAAAAATATACAGTAGACTGTCATTTAGCACAGTAGTTACATTCCTGAAAATGCCGTATTAGGTAAAATCGTATTAGATGAACTGAAGAATTTATGAGAAAAATAGCTGTATAGCCCTTGTGGCTTAGCGCTTCTTTTTGATTATAATAATAATTTTTTTATTTTTATTATTATCACACTGGCCGATTCCCACCAAGGCAGGGTGGCCCGAAAAAGAAAAACTTTCACCATCATTCACTCCATCACTGTCTTGCCAGAAGGGTGCTTTACACTACAGTTTTTAAACTGCAACATTAACACCCCTCCTTCAGAGTGCAGGCACTGTACTTCCCATCTCCAGGACTCAAGTCCGGCCTGCCGGTTTCCCTGAATCCCTTCATAAATGTTACTTTGCTCACACTCCAACAGCACGTCAAGTATATGAGAAAAATAGGGTTACGTTCCTGGGAGCCTCCAAAAAGCCAAACAACCTTTTATTAGGCCTCCATATCTTACAAAAATTAAAGTGAATATGTAGTTTTAGTTCATTGTTGTGATGTATTATGTTGTTTTTACTGCTTAAGACTACAAATGTAACAAACAATAGTATTTCTTACCTTAAATTGTGGGTGCTGGTGTTTGTGGACGATTGTGAAGAATGGAGAGTTATGTTGTGGCCCTACTGGGCTGAGGTGGATGGTAAAGGTTCTGGTACTGAAGTGTCTAACTTTAAGTCATTGTGTCAGTCAAATCATTCAGTAAGTCAGTCAAGTCACTCAGTAAGTCAGTCAGGTCACTCAGAAAGTCAGTTAAGTCACTCAGTAAGTCAGTCAAGTCACTCAGTAAGTCAGTCAAGTCACTCAGTAAGTCAGTCAAGTCACTCAGTAAGTCAGTCAGGTCACTCAGAAAGTCAGTTAAGTCACTCAGTAAGTCAGTCAAGTCACTCAGTAAGTCAGTCAGTTCAGTCAGTCAAGTTAGTAAGTCAGTCAGTCAATCATTCAGTAAGTCACACAAACTCATGTTTACCTCTTTTTCTGTGTACAAAGTAACACTTCATTACAGCTACAGGCTGCTAACCAGCCGCTAACCAGACTAGAGTCGAAGATCTAAATGAATTTTTTATGAGAGAGCCACAGAATTTGGTAAACACAAGCCTATCTGATGTTATCCTGACACCAAATGACTTCGAACAGGCAATAAATGACATGCCCATGCACTCTGCCCCAGGGCCAGACTCGTGGAACTCAGTGTTCATCAAGAACTGCAAGAAGCCCCTATCACGTGCTTTTAACATCCTATGGAGAGGGAGCATGGGCACTAGGGTCGTCCCACAGTTACTAAAAACAACAGACATAGCCCCACTCCACAAAGGGGGCAGTAAAGCAATAGCAAAAGAACTACAGACCTATAGCACTAACATCCCATATCATAAAAATCTTTGAAAGGGTCCTAAGAAGCAAGATCACCACCCATCTAGATACCCATCAATTACACAACCCAAGGCAACATGGGTTTAGAGCAGGTCGCTCCTGTCTGTCCCAACTACTGGATCACTATGACAAGGTCCTAGATGCACTAGAAGACAAAGAGAATACAGATGTAATGTACACAGACTTTGCAAAAGCCTTCGACAAGTGTGACCATGGCGTAATAGCGTACAAAATGTGTGCTAAATGAATAACAGGAAAAGTTGGTATATGGATCTATAATTTCCTCACAAACAGAACACAAAAAGTAGTAGTCAACAGGGTAAAGTCTGAGGCAGCTACGGTGAAAAGCTCTGTTCCGCAAGGCACAATACTCGCTCCCATCTTGTTTCTCATCCTTATACCTGACATAGACATGGATGTCAGCCACAGCACCGTGTCTTCCTTTGCAGATGACACCCGAATCTGCATGACAGTGTCTTCCATTGCAGACACTGCAAGGTTCCAGGCAGACATCAACTAAATCTTTCAATGGGCTGCAGAAAACAATATGAAGTTCAATGATGAGAAATTTCAGTTACTCCGATATGGTAAACAGGAGGAAATTAAAACTTCATCAGAGTATAAAACAAATTCCAGCCACAAAATAGAGCGAAAAACTAACGTCAAAGACCTGGGAATGATCATGTCGGAGGATCTCACCTTCAAGGACCATAACACTGTATCAATCGCATCTGCTAGAAAAATGACAGGATGGATAATGAGAACCTTCAAAACTAGGGAGGCCAAGCCCATGATGACACTCTTCAGGTCACTTGTTCTATCTAGGCTGGAATATTGCTGCACACTAACAGCACCTTTCAAGGCAGGTGAAATTGCTGACCTAGAAAATGTACAAAGAACCTTCACGGCACTCATAACGGAGATAAAACACCTAAATTACTGGGAGCACTTGAAGTTCCTGAACCTGTACTCCCTGGAATGCAGGCGGGAAAGATATATGATTATATACACCTGGAAAATCCTAGAGGGACTAGTACCGAACTTGCACACGAAAATCACTCACAACGAAAACAAGAGACTCGGCAGATGATGCAACACCCCCCAATGAAAAGCAGGGGTGTCACTAGCACGTTTAGAGACAACACAATAAGTGTCAGGGGCCCAAGACTGTTCAACTGCCTCCCAGCATACATAAGGGGGATTACCAGTAGACTTCTGGCTATCTTCAAGCTGGCACTGGACAAGCACCTAAAGTCGGTACCTGACCAGCCGGGCCGTGGCTCGTACGTTGGATTGCGTGCAGCTAGCAGTAACAGCCTGGTTGATCAGGCTCTGATCCACGAGGCCTGGTCACAGACTGGGCTGGGGGGCACTGCCCCCAGAACTCTCTCCAGGTAAACAGGTTATCTCTTGTCTAATAACTTTGTTTCTTTGTTAATTCTAAGACCTAAGTGCTTATACCTCTTCGTGTCACTTTCAGCAACACTGGTATGGCTACGGGGTGTCACGATTACTTGGCAGATACAAGATATACTATTATTATTATTTTATTATTATCACACTGCCCGATTCCCACCAGGGCAGGGTGGCCCGAAAAAGAAAAACTTTCACCATCATTCACTCCATCACTGTCTTGCCAGAAGGGTGCTTTACACTACAGTTTTTAAACTGCAACATTAACAGGTAGTAGGTTGGTAGACAGCAACCACCCAGGGAAGTACTACCGTCCTGCCAGATGACTGTGAAACAGAAACCTGTAACTGTTTTGCATGATGGTAGGATTGCTGTTTTCTTTTTCTGTCTCATAAACACGCTAGATAACAGGGATATCTTGCTACTCCTACTTACACTTTAGTCACACTTCACAGACACGCACATGCATATATATATACATACATCTAGGTTTTTCTCCTTTTTCTAAATAGCTCTTGTTCTTCTTTATTTCTTCTATTGTCCATGGGGAAGTGGAAAAGAATCTTTCCTCCGTAAGCCATGCGTGTCGTATGAGGCGACTAAAATGCCGGGAGCAATGGGCTAGTAACCCCTTCTCCTGTAGACATTTACTAAAAAAAAGAGAAGATATATTAATTAAAATATAACATAATTCACAAACACAGCTGCCTTGTAGCAGAGATAGACTGGACAGGATACGTATGAATTACGAACGCTGGGATGGTGGGGTGGTGTCGGGGAGTGGGAGGGGATGGTGGGAGGGCTCCCGGCTGCTCCACAACATGGCGGCCGCTTGAGCAAAAGAGAATTATTTTTTCCTTCCCACAAACTGAATAGTGTTAAATTAATTATACGGCATGTTACGTAAAATTGTGCCGTAATTCTTCAATCATGCCAAATAAACTCATGCTAAATGATAGTCTACTGTACCTTAATTCATGAGTAGTTTAGTTAATGATTTACCCTTCTGGTCCCTTACCCCTGCAGCACCCTGACCTGCCCATCGACCTTCCCTCGAACCCGTACCACTTTTGGGCAACGCCTCATTGCCTAACTCTTGTGCTGGTGTTCTGGCTAAACATTTCGATACCTCTGACCTTCGCTCTACCTTGACTATGCACCCTACTTCTCCCACAATAGCGCATCAGTTTTAGAATCAGTTGCATGCCACAAGACAGACTGGCCCGGTACCTATGTCCAAACAACCTCAACCCTTTAGGATCCACTCAAATCGTGGGTTCTCGGAAGTTGACCAAAACCAGAGATATTGTCTTAACCAAACCCAATGAACTACATCTCCAGCCTGCAGAAACAGCCAATAAGTAGAATGTTTTCTCTACCATAGGATGAAGTCTAGCTAGCAAAATTCCAGGCACTAATACTCAAGCAAGTGATTAACTCGTTGAA